GACGGGCGTCAATCAGAGGGCAGGGCGGGGCCGTGGGCGGGGCCTCTTCTCAGTTGGGCCCTCAGCGGGGCTGAAACTGAGGTACCCTGCTCTGCAGCGGAGTCCAAATCCGCTCGCGGCATTCTGGCTCTGCTCCTGGGAGATTCTCCTGGAAGAGCCCTGTGGCTTCCTTGACTCTTTACACTCAGAGGCCATGGATAAACTGACTGACACGGACGGGCGTCAATCAGAGGGCAGGGCGGGGCCGTGGGCGGGGCCTGGCGCTCAGTTGGGCCCTCAGCGGGGCTGAAACTGAGGTACCCTGCTCTGCAGCGGAGTCCAAAACCGCTCGCGGCATTCTGGCTCTGCTCCTGGGAGATTCATTCTCCTGGAAGAGCCCTGTGGCTTCCTTGACTCTTTACACTCAGAGGCCATGGAGTGGAAAGCAAGTGCATGTGGAGGGTGGACTGAGGCAGGAGATGGGCTGGTGTCTCTTTCCTGCCCAAGGCCAGGTGGACAAATGAGTCCCTTCCCTCCCTGGTGCCTTAAAGCTGGTCAGTCACGGCCAGGCAGGTCGAGACTGGAACCCAGATGCAGCTGCGTGCCCAGCGCCTGTTCCACTAGATTGGGTAAATGTCCTAGTTTTTCCCCTTCGGTCAGCAGAATTGGCTCACACTTCCTTAGAACTCACAGTTTACTTTAGGAGAGAGTAAATGCATTATTGACAACCCCAGTCCTTCTATGAAATGGTTCATCAAAGGAGAAAAATATGGGAACTACTAATGGTAAAAATAAACAACCCAGCAATAAAAGACCCAAGACTTTTTGGCCATTGATTTCCTAATCAGAGCCCCCCTTTTTTGTTTTAGAAGAAAATAAGAATCCTAGTGATCACTTCCTCTTTCTCCAATATAAGCTATTCCAGACAAACAGGCTTTTTAGAAGAAAATAAGAATCCTAGTGATCACTTCCTCTTTCTCCAATATAAGCTATTCCAGAGACAAACAGGCTTGAACATGAAATGTTCTGGCCGCTTTTGAAAGAGAAGTTCCATAACTAAAGAAAGATGTGGAATTTTATGTGGCTTCAGTAGCCTTTGGGCACTGTCTACAAGTGATTTAATCATTTCCTTCCTTTCTTAAGTCTCAGGACCAAAGATGAGAGCTGCAGGAGTCTTTGGCAACTCCAGAAAAATCCCATAAAGGAGCAGCTGCAGTTTAGGACGGCTGACTTCCGGCCACAGGCTTCAATATCTGTACTGCACGCATCGTCTCATTCAGTCTCCACAGTTGCCATGAGATACGTGCTGTTGTTATTCCCGGTTCACAAATGAGGAAACTGAGGCCTGTTCAATGCTAGTGCAAGGTTCGAATGTGGGTCTGGCCTCTCAGCCAGCCAACCAGTCTGAAAACCATGATTCACAGGAGATAATAAAAATGTTTCAAAACTCTGCTGTATGTTTAGAAAAAAATATATCCCTTCTATCAATTCAGATATTTAACACTGAGGGATAGTTTTCTCCAGCCATAGACTATCACTTGTGTGTGTAGAGCTATATTACTCATACAAAATAAATGACTTAAAATTGCTGAGCCTAATTAAACCTAAACCAGGTTCCAAGCAGCGATGAGTACAAATTGTCTGTCCTAGAAACTGAAAATACCAAGGGTAATTCCTTGTGGTATAATAAAACAAAATGTACTTAAGTCTTTTAACCACAAAACAAATTAGCAAGTTTCTTTCCCCTCTTCCTACAAGATAGTACTTAAGAAACCAGCTGTCTGGATTTAGCCTAAAATCACTTCAGTTAATCTACATGTCGTGGTTGGCTCTGATGTCCATTGTTCCTGCAAAAGTTGAGAGGTTTCTTGGGGTGCCTAGACCCCAGCCAGGTGGGCTTGCACAAGTTATGTAATATTTTTATGTCTCAGCTTCCTCATCTGTAAAATGAGGCTCCTGAGAGTATCTATGGGTTTTTTAATGGAGATGAAGTGACTGTATACAAGTAAAACCCTTAGAATAATGGTTGGCACGTAAACTCTGTATGAATCTTGGGCAAATGGAAGACATGACTATGTAGAGATTTGTGACTGGCTTTCTGGTCTACCCTGGTGTGATTTACCACATGTCTTAAGGAGGATATCAATTTTTGTAGAGACAGTGAACATGTTGGAGACAAGAATTTTGACTTACAATCCTAGTACTGACCTAGCTCAGAGGCTGAATATTTATAAATGGGTATGCTGAGACTGTGGTGCAAGGCTAAAGACTGATCTCCACGAAGACCTTAGTAGCAACTGCCACAGCTGAAATGTTTACACAAATCACAGTTACCAAAATACCCACCTGAAGACAAACCAAAAAAAAGGTAGCACCTAGCATTGTGCCTAGAAGCCACCTGACTGTGACACTGAAGAGTTCAGAATGGAGGAATGGAGGGCCCAGAACAGCAGCTACTCTGGTTATAGGGACACGTGTCCAAATGGAAGCAAGGAGGGAAGGAAGGGAGGAAGGAAGGGGAAAGGGAGGAAAAGGCAGGCAAGCAAGCTGGTCAATCATTTCTGGTAAGTGTTTAATTAGAGGGTTTTTTCTTTCACAACGTTTTCTTGGCCATTTGAACTCTGAAAATGGAATGTGAATATCCAGAACCATTGAAGATATTGCAAAGTGTATTTTTCACTGTTAGGTCAAACCCTTCCTTTTACTCAGGGGTCACACATCCATGTCCAGGCCAGCCTCAGGCTAGGACAAGTGGACAGTGATTTGAGAACAGTGAAACCCACTGAACCTTGGACTGGAAAATCATTATAATTTCATCTCTATTACGAGTTTCCTTGGTAGACCTGCATCCTCTTCTCACAGTGTGCAAAGGGAAATGGGTCTGTTTCTGTAATTTGCTTACCAACAATGGTGCCTGGCACTTGGAGTGGACTGAGTCGATATTCAGTGAATGAAAACGTAAGTGAATGTGTGAGTCAAGGCAAGGATTTGGCTTCCTACTGAGAACCAATGAAAATTTCTAGATATACTCATTTCCAGCTGTCCTTATGCAGATTCTTTGTCTTTCGTGTGTATGTGTGGCAAAATATGCACACATAAAACTTAGCGTCCTAACCACTCCAGTGTATCGTGGTATGAAGTGCTTTCACAGTGTTATGCACCCATCACCAACCACCCATTTCCAGAACATTTTTTATCTTTCTGAAAGGACAGTCTATACCCAGTAAGCACTAACCCTTCGCTGTGCCTTCCTTCAAGCCCTTGGAGGAAATCACCATTCTTTTTTTCTGTCTCTATGGTTTTGACCATTCTAGGTACCTCATGTCAATGGAGTCATACGCGATAGGGTCTGCATAGTTTATTCATGTTATTCACGTGACTAAATAAGTCACATGTCAGAATTGCCCACCTTTTAAAGGCTAAATAGTATTCCATTGCATATACGTACTACATCTTGTTCATTCACTTATCTGTCAATGGACCCTTGCCTTGCTTCCACCCTGTGACTACTGTGAATCACGCCACTTTGAACATGGGTGTACAAACAGACATTTTCACTTCTTTGGAGTTTATGCCCAGAACAAGGATTATCGGATTATACGGTAATTTTATATTTAACTTTTAAAGGAAACAGTATACTGCCTTCCATACTGAAAACCATTCCCACCGGTAATGTATGAGGTCTCCAATTTCTCCACATCTCCTCCTACATTTATTTATTATTTAAATTGCTGGGGACCAAACCCAAGACCTCACACATTCTTCGATAAGTGTTCTACCACTGAGGCACAACCCCCAGCCTGCGCTTTGATTTTCTGTTGTTTTATAATAGCCAACCTAATCAATGTGAAGTGATATCTCATTATCCTTTGGACTTGCATTTCTCTAATGATTAGTAGAGTCGAGGACCTCTTCAAGTGCTTGTTAATCATGTGTCTAATTTCTTTGGAGAAATGTCTATGTGGATCTTTTGACCACTCACTGTCTTTAAAACAGTATGCCATCATCGTTGATGTCCCTAAAAATTAGAATTTGAGAAACCCTCATTTTTCTACTTCCATTCTGCTTTGAATTTGATTGTATGTTATTTCTTATTTATAAAAAGCTCAAAAGAACTGCACAACTTTATGTCCACATTGGTCAGGGCCATGTCTGTATTAGAGAACAGCATCTGAAGGTCAGCAGGTGCCCATGGTGATGATAGCACAGCTTAATTAAGCACTGGCCAAGTACCCCCCTCTACCTGTGCTAACTCATGTAATCCTACAGCCCGATCGAAGCTGGACACTATTATCCTTGCCAATAACAGAAAAAGAAACAGAAGAACAAAAGGCTTACAGCGTATTGCTCTGGATCATCCAGCCGGTAGGTGACACTGTAGGATTTGAGCCCAGCTTCTAGAGACATATGGGAAACATTCCCTAAATAAGTCACCTCCCAGGAACTCAGCAGTTTCCCAAAGGCCACATATGACTTTTTTTTTTTCCCCCAGAGGAGCAGTGACTAGAAGAAGCCCAGCCCACCTGCAACCTGCTGGTTTAGGCGGGGGTGAGGTACCTGGGCCTCAGCACAGCTGCCAGGAGAGCAATTGCTACAAGTGACCACAGGCTGAGATCCGGGCCAGTGTTTCATAAGCAGAGGGGAGAAACCCAGCCAGACAGGTAGGGTGGGGAAGCCATGGGTGAAACCCACTTAGGGTGAAAACCAGACAAGGCCTCAAGAGGGGCCAGTGTGCAAGGCCCAGAGGGAGGAGCCCTTCGGCCACCCAATGGGCTCAGGCAGGAGGGCCCATGACAGGGACCATTCAGGGCCCTCGTGCTACAATTCAAAATAACATTAGTTATTAGTATTCATAATAAAATAATTGTAAATTATGTTTTGAATTTTAATAATAAAATAATTATAAGAGGTGTTTTGAGTGTGTAACATCATTGTCAGCTGAATCATAACACTCTTCTATTGGTCATTTACACCTTAGGGTCAACACCTGGCTCTTTCTGAGAGCCAGTGAGGCTGCTGCCGGGGAGATCACAAGGGCTGGGGGTAGGGGGTGTCAGCCGAGAGCCCCCAAGGGAACTGAAAGGTGGTGGTGTTGAGTGTGTGCATGTGTGCGCGTGTGTGTGTGTTTGTGGAGAACTTCATGATTTTGCAGAAGCTCATACAAGACATAGTATTCCCTTAATTTTTTTTCATTTGCAGCAAATGACATGGCTTTGCTCTTCCCTGAACTTCTGGTACCTCCTGTCCTGCCTGCACTTTAGAGCTGTGCCCTTGATGTCCGCATGCCTGGCTCGCTTTCTCCCCTCACCTGGCTGATTCCCATGGTTCCTGCATCTCTGCTCACCTGTCCTCTGTGGGAAGCAGTTCTGGATCCCTGAAGGTGAGTTCCCCCTGGCTTCTCCAGATCCCTGTCATCCAGTCCTTCCGTGCTTCCCGTGGGGATTGAGTCTCCTGCAGGGCTCCCTGCCAGTGCCCTCCTCATGGCCCTCCTGAGGTCCGGTGGTCCATTCCTCCCCTTCTCCCTCAGCGGACGCAATACTCGGCAGAATGACCTTCAGATGGACAAGGCTTCCTCTTTCATGCCTGTGAACTTACTAAGACGGAAAGGACAGCAGTCGCCTTGCCCCACGAATGGTGCAAATGCAGACAAATGTTGCCAACTAACCAGACAATTAAGTAAAAATACTTGGGATGCATTGGTGTCAAAAATCTTGTGGAAACTTTAATGGGCTTGAGCTCCAGTTGACCAAAAAGCATTTTTTTTTTTTGGTAGACAAAGAGGAATGTACAGCCATGGTTGTGGCTTGTGTACCTAGCCCTGTCCCCCTACTAAAAGTAAATCCAGAGTGAAAAGAAACCCAGATTGCTCTTCTCTGGCTCGCTTGTTTTGGAGGCCCCTGGGGCTGTGCTGGCCTGAAGTTTTGCTTCAGGGGTTGACATCTAAGAGAGAGCAGACAGGTGTGTGGGGTGCCTCTTGCAGTCTTCTTGTTTCCCCACCCCCACAAGAGCTGCTTGAATGACAGTGAGAAATAACATCCTTTATGGGCCTCAATTTCCTTACTTGTAAAATTTTTAAATATGGACTGTACTACTTAAAACCATAGTCAGTGATGAAATATACTTCAAAACATTTGGACTGACAATCTTTAATATTGGTTAAAAATGTTCTGATGTTGTTGCATTGAATCCAATGTGCAAAAAAAAAAAAGTGCAGCTATCTTTTTCTTGAAATATGTAAGACCAACACCATTATTTACACACTAAAAAGATTTTAAATGTATTAATTTAAGTAAGCATATGGCATCTCCTTTGTGGATAAATTAGGTGCTTCAGAGAGCCCAAAAGCTTGAAGACACTCTGTGAAGTTACATAAATGTAACTGAAGAAGCAGATCTGTTTCTTGTTCTAATTTTGATCCTAAATACAAATCTTACTTCAAAACTCAGTTAAGAATTATTTTGGTCTCGGAAATCCTGGAACTGCTGCACATGTGGGAATCTTGTCGCTGAGGCTTTGTCTGCTCTTCTCCCCCTGGTCCATGCGGCAGAGCCCTGCCAGTGCAGGTCACAGAGCCCCAATCAGGAGGAGATTTTAGAAGGTGACCAGACCACAGGGCGCTGTTCTCAGGAGCAGACTGATTCTCCGAAGAATTCCTAGCCGGATGTGCCGCAGGAGGCAGGTGGAAGAGGTCACTCCTGGGCATGGGACCCAGGGGTGCATCTCCCTTCCTGTCTCCTCCCTTCTCTCTGCTTCCTGGCTGCTACGGTGAGCAGATCTCCTCTGCTCAGGCCTTTCCACCATGATGCTTCGGCCTTGGAGCCAGCTGATCATGGACTGAAATCCTGAGCCAAGATCTTCTTTAAGTCGTGGTGTCTGGTGTTTTTGTCTCAGGGATGGAAAAGTGACTAACACAGTTTCCCACACAGAAACCCTCAGGGGCTCGCTCAACCCCTGTCCAAACTGTCGCATATTGTATGTGCACACAGAGGCCACAAAGAAAAACCATGTACAGGAACACATTAGGCAAACCGCAGGTAGTAATACCTAGAATCTATAGATGAGAGTGTTTAAAGGCTGTTTTATCTAATTTTTTTTCTCTTTTATTCTGGAGATACTTTTCATTATTTTTCAAATTTTCCAAAACTATTCATCACTGACCTAATTTTTAATCTTATTTTAACACACTATCTCCTAAGGAACTGCAGAGCCTACGCTTTGCTCTATCAACTGCCACTTAAAACCATAGTCAGTGATGAAATATACTTCAAAACATTTGGACTGACAATCTTTAATATTGGTTAAAAATGTTCTGATGTTGTTGCATTGAATCCAATGTGCAAAAAAAAAAAAGTGCAGCTATCTTTTTCTTGAAATATGTAAGACCAACACCATTATTTACACACTAAAAAGATTTTAAATGTATTAATTTAAGTAAGCATATGGCATCTCCTTTGTGGATAAATTAGGTGCTTCAGAGAGCCCAAAAGCTTGAAGACACTCTGTGAAGTTACATAAATGTAACTGAAGAAGCAGATCTGTTTCTTGTTCTAATTTTGATCCTAAATACAAATCTTACTTCAAAACTCAGTTAAGAATTATTTTGGTCTCGGAAATCCTGGAACTGCTGCACATGTGGGAATCTTGTCGCTGAGGCTTTGTCTGCTCTTCTCCCCCTGGTCCATGCGGCAGAGCCCTGCCAGTGCAGGTCACAGAGCCCCAATCAGGAGGAGATTTTAGAAGGTGACCAGACCACAGGGCGCTGTTCTCAGGAGCAGACTGATTCTCCGAAGAATTCCTAGCCGGATGTGCCGCAGGAGGCAGGTGGAAGAGGTCACTCCTGGGCATGGGACCCAGGGGTGCATCTCCCTTCCTGTCTCCTCCCTTCTCTCTGCTTCCTGGCTGCTACGGTGAGCAGATCTCCTCTGCTCAGGCCTTTCCACCATGATGCTTCGGCCTTGGAGCCAGCTGATCATGGACTGAAATCCTGAGCCAAGATCTTCTTTAAGTCGTGGTGTCTGGTGTTTTTGTCTCAGGGATGGAAAAGTGACTAACACAGTTTCCCACACAGAAACCCTCAGGGGCTCGCTCAACCCCTGTCCAAACTGTCGCATATTGTATGTGCACACAGAGGCCACAAAGAAAAACCATGTACAGGAACACATTAGGCAAACCGCAGGTAGTAATACCTAGAATCTATAGATGAGAGTGTTTAAAGGCTGTTTTATCTAATTTTTTTTCTCTTTTATTCTGGAGATACTTTTCATTATTTTTCAAATTTCAAAAAACTATTATTCATCACTGACCTAGTTTTTAATCTTATTTTAACACACTATCTCCTAAGGAACTGCAGAGCCTACGCTTTGCTCTGAGAATCCTGCCTCCTCCAGCTTGGCTGTCTGCTTTCCACTTGCCATGTGCTTCACTATGAGTGCACCCCGTGGGAGAGGTTATTGCTCAGGCTGTAAATTTTATAGCAGGGCAACACATTTTTTGTGCAGGGCTGGACAGTTTCTGAGATTTGCAGGCCATATGCCCTGGGTGGCAACCACTCGACTCTGCTGCTGCTATGGCAAATAGCTGCAAATAATTCTGTGAGTGAGTGAGCAGAGCTTGTGCATTAATACAACAGGAAGGGTGTTGACAGTCACATTTTCTCTATGCTGACAAGTCACCCAACAGTATTCTTCTCATGATTACTTTTCAAGCACTTATAAAAGCAAAAGCAGTTCTTGCCCACGGAAAAGGGCCAGTTCCAGGTCATATTGGGTTTGCTGGTCATAGCTGACAAACCCTCGTTTATAATCCCAGGCTTCCCGTCATTGGATCGGCCTTCATTGCAGCATGGATTTCCGTGACTTTCTGGGTTGGGCTTCCACCGGGAGCACCCACCCCGCAGGACCACGTGGCTCAGTCACTTTCCGCTATACCCAGATCTCTAAGGTGTGGGCTCAGCTTAGACTGGGGTCTGAGCACAAGCGGCACAGCGGAATGGTATGGCGGAGGAACAGGGCCTCTGCCCGAGGCAGCCAGGAGGCAGAGCAAGAGGACGACACCCTCCCAGGCCACTTCCACGGTGACACCTCTTCTGCCCAGGCCCTCCCTCCTCACAGCACACTCGGCTAGAACGCATGGACGCCCCTGAGAGCCACTCACCTTCCAAGAGCTGCACCTCCTCAGAGCACACGAGGCTTGGGGGGACATTCTAGACACTAGACGTGGCCTTTCATCCAGCCTTGGGGACTTCAAAAGTGTTTATGTCTGAGTGTCTGCGAGGGTTTGTGTGCTTTCCTTTCATGAGTAGCTTGTGGGCACCTTCCCCCTTTGCAGCTTTTATGTTAGGGTTACATTCCTGTTCCTCTGCTCATGTTACAATTCTCGGAGCTGCCAAAGCCCTATTTTGCCAGCTGAGCTCGAATATCCCTATTCTGAAAAACTTTAAAGGATTTTTTGTTAATGGCTTCCAGATTGGCTCTCTAATCCTCAATGACCCCCGAGTGAGAAAAGTTTACTGTTCTGCCTATCATATTAGGTGAATGAGCAGCCGAGGGCAATTCAAGTTTTTAGGAAAAAAGTATTCAATTTGGTAACCCTCTTGAAATTTCATTTTAAGAAGGAGACTATGAAGAGGGTTTGCATTCAATGCTCTTAATTATTCTTTTAAAGAGAGGGTCACAGGACATAGTCCAGGCTGTCCTCTTGTCTCAGCCTCCCGCATAGTGGGGTCACAGGTGTGTGTCACCACGCCCTGCTTTGTTTTGATCTTGATGTGTTCATTAGTAACGTTCCCAGCTACGACTAAATTAGCCTGTTATGATGGATGAAGCAAATACAGGCATGAGGCCACAAGGCTGGGGTTCTGCTTCTCAGCTATCGTTACTCTTTCAGCATGATGTCCTCAAGTTCAGAGGAGAATGGAGGGGAAGAGGGAGCTCTGGCCACGTCATCCTTCCACGAGAGAAGGCAAACTCCCTCCAGAAGCCCCCAGCAGACCCTGCTTAAGTGAGCTGGCATAGACCAGTGTCCTCTGACTACGAGCACTGGGGAAACTGGCAGAGAGAGACTTCGTTTTTGTGGCCTCCGCTGTGGGGTTGGAAGCAGCAATGGAGAAGGGACAGGGATAGCTGTGGGGTTTGCATACCGCTGGCTGTATATGGAGTAAGATCCCCGATGTTAGACAGAGCTGTCTTCCCTACTCCAGGGGAATGGGGCACTTGTGGAAGCACAGACTTCATCTGCTGCAGCTCCTGGTGCAGTGCAATCGCGTAATAGCTATTTGCAGAATAAATGAATGGGTGAAGGCCTGAGGCCATGACAAGCGCTCAGTGTTGGAAATGACCGGGTCATGGTGTGAGCTGCCCTTCCCGGACAGCGTGCCCACAAAGGACCCCACACTCGTGTCACCGCTACCTTCAGTGTGGCTTAATGCTGCACCACGTGAATGCACTTATCTCTGCCCATGCCTGGCCCTACTGGATTCTTGTTCACCAATGTCTGTCGACACAGGTGAGGAGACCCACTTGTCCACCACCTTGCCCACCTCAGAAGGAAACCGATTTAGTGTGGAAAACGTGAGCTGTCTTAGGATTAAAGAGGAGGGTGGGGCCCCCAGAATGAGCATTCAGCCCTTCCTATGTTCCTATCTCCACGCTGGAGATTTTACATATCGTTATTCATACTCTATACTGATGAGGAGAAGAAAGCTCTCACAATTAAAGTGTGCAAGCCTTTTAGAAATGACTCAAGTTAGATGAAACAATATGAAAGAGAATGAAATTAATTACCAAAAGCAAACAGCTGGCAGACAGTGGTTAACAGTGGCAGATTATGTAAGTACATCCATCACGTTTTCCTTTTAAAATTGATCAGAGAAGCTAAAGAAGAACACAGAAAAGCGAAGAGGAAATGTTAGTAGACAAAAAATGACAGTGCAATGAGGGAAGGAGCACGAAGAAAGAGTCAGTGAGCAGAGAGAGCAGGATCCTCTCCTAACATGCCCACCATGGAGAAAAAGCATCCTGTCATCTAATCCTCATGAAGTAGGTTAGAGTATAGTTTCCATTTCACATACAAAACTAAAGCGCACAGATGAAACGCAGTACTTTGAAGTGCATCCACCAGAGAACATGAAAGGATTTTTAGCAGTCAAAGAGGTGATATCCAAATAAAGCATCCCACAGCGTCTGGCCCACCCATGGTCAAAGTTTAATCAATGTTAATTGTTGCTTCGGACCATTTACTTCTGTTCCACTTTTCCTTTTCCTTATTGTTTTGTGATTGAACCTAGGTCCAAATCAGAGCATTCTTTATTTCACAAGCTCTTATTGGACAAAATGAAGATCTTAGAATCCTGGATTATACAAACACTTCATGAAACCCCGATTTAGTGTGGAAAACGTGAGCTGTCTTAGGATTAAAGAGGAGGGTGGGGGCCCCAGAATGAGCATTCAGCCCTTCCTATGTTCCTATCTCCACGCTGGAGATTTTACATATCGTTATTCATACTATACTGATGAGGAGAAGAAAGCTCTCACAATTAAAGTGTGCAAGCCTTTTAGAAATGACTCAAATTAGATGAAACAATATGAAAGAGAATGAAATTAATTACCAAAAGCAAAGAGCTGGCAGACAGTGGTTAACAGTGGCAGATTACGTAAGTACATCCATCACGTTTTCCTTTTAAAATTGATCAGAGAAGCTAAAGAAGAACACAGAAAAGCGAAGAGGAAATGTTAGTAGACAAAAAATGACAGTGCAATGAGGGAAGGAGCACGAAGAAAGAGTCAGTGAGCAGAGAGAGCAGGATCCTCTCCTAACATGCCCACCATGGAGAAAAAGCATCCTGTCATCTAATCCTCATGAAGTAGGTTAGAGTATAGTTTCCATTTCACATACAAAACTAAAGCGCACAGATGAAACGCAGTACTTTGAAGTGCATCCACCAGAGAACATGAAAGGATTTTTAGCAGTCAAAGAGGTGATATCCAAATAAAGCATCCCACAGCGTCTGGCCCACCCATGGTCAAAGTTTAATCAATGTTAATTGTTGCTTCGGACCATTTACTTCTGTTCCACTTTTACTTTTCCTTATTGTTTTGTGATTGAACCTAGGTCCAAATCAGAGTATTCTTTATTTCACAAGCTCTTATTGGACAAAATGAAGATCTTAGAATCCTGGATTATACAAACACTTCAATCAAGAGGAAGGGACACTTAGGTGAACAGAGGCCAATCAATTTGGTCACGCACTACTTAGCAGTGCAACCAAGAGCAGAACCTCGATCCTCCGGCTGATGCCCTCCACCTGTCTTTTCTTGGTTCATCACTGTAATGTGAAGGGAGTCCCCCTTCGTTCTGAGAACAGCCACTCTTCTCTGGCCCAGTCTTCCTAAAGGGAGTTATCAGAGCATTCTTCTCTTCCAGCTGAGAAGGGACCAATGAGCCACACAGATGCCTGCTTTGGAGCGGGAACATGGACATTAGAAGAGAGAAGTCACTTTTGCTAGAGTTCCTACTTAGGGAAGACCTGGCCACAGCATCTTATGGTATCAGCTGTGACAACAGCAAGCCCAGGCAATGGAAGGAGGCAGAAAACCCCGATAACACCACAGCCGATGACAAAGGGAAGTCCATAGATGGTAGCTGTACAGCAGGCTGATAGAACAATCAGTCCGGATTGGAACAGGAAGCATGAGGTTTCCGGAAGGGAGGGCTCCAAAGAGAAAAATGGAATTGATTATTCATTAATGCATTTGAGCCGCTGAAAAATAATATCCCAAGAACCTGGTAGAGTTGATGGTATACCTGGAAAAATATTTAATATGGAAACATAGAAAGCCCAGCCAGGGAACGAAATGAGACAGGAAAGTCCAGGAAGAACAACAGTTGTACAAGAAGGGAAACATTACCCTTCTCAGCTCAGCAGTGAGCATTACTGACATAGTCCTAGTAAGGTTAAAGGAACTGTGGTGTTTTGGTGGGATGGTCTGAGATAAAAATGTGGGGGCAGAGGGGTAACTGAGAATATTCTCATCTACTGCAACAGGAAGTCAAAAGATAATGTCTCAAATGATAAGGAGTAGAAAGGTCATATTATTTAGAAATATGAAGTATCATAAGAACTCAGTTTAAAAAGTTGAAATTTGAGAGTAGGAAACTCAGGAGAGTGATGTTTCAAGCTTTTTAAAAATTATGTGATGGGCAGGGGATTTAGCTCCGTGGTTCCGCCACCTGCTTCCCAAGTGTAAGGTCCCAAGTTCAATCCTGCATACCTAAATAAATAAATAAAATTACTACTAAAAATTATGTGAATCGTTGGTACTATTACTTTATGTAAATGTTTATATGCTATATATAAACATAGCACTGTATATATACATACATATATATAAATTTAAAGTTTCTATTTTCAGAAAAGAAAACAATCAATAGTCCCAGGAAGCCAGGACTGTAAGTTGTATCCATAATCTTAATATTAAATCAAGTCGCTGACCCTACTGAGTCAGCAGATATATACATGTCCCAATATTCAAATGTCTCCCTTAATCCCACCAGTCTTTCCAAGTACAGTGAAACTCATGACAGGGGTGGGGCAAATAAGGATTTTTATTAAAAGCAACCATTTAGAACAAAGTGGCTCAGAATGGTGGCAGTCTCCTCACAGCGGCGGCCCTAAAGTCCCAGCTGACGGGAGGCAGCCTCGGCCCTGGTGGGATCCAGGTTTGGGCCTCTTGCCCTATGGTACTTCCTGTTCCAGGGCAGGGCTGGAAACTCAGTACATACAATTTTACACGTCTTGCAGATTCCAGCTATGAACATGAAGGCATGAATCTGCACCACAAGAAAACAAAGAAAGTTTCCACTTGGGAGGAATTCAATATGCTTAAGTCTTCCTTGCCACCTGCAACCTTTTCTTTATGATCTTGGGCTGGCATGAGATTGGCAGAACCCATGCTGTCAAGTGCTGCTTATATCTAATAAGTTTAACTCAGGACCTTGTGATCACAAGTGACAGAATCTCGGTTGAAAATCTCATTTGTTAGAAAGGGAATTCACTGTTGCAATTGACTAGGGAGTCCAGGGCCACCTGGCTGCAACATAACTGTTTCCCAGAGTGCTGTCGTTATTCTTTTGGTCTCTATCTCTGTCTGTTGCTTGTTTTGTCACAGCAACACAAAGGAACTAAGACTCACCAGGAGATGGTGTCAGCCCCCAGCATTACCCCTCAGCTTTTGAGTCTTTTCAACTAAGGCTTCAGCATCAAGGAACAAAGAATGATCCCCACTGTGCCTTTTCCAAATACCTAGCTCACAGCACCCAGAAGCATAATGCAATGGTGGGCACTGAAATCACTGAGTTGGGGTTACATCTTGAGCAGCAACAGTGCTTGGAACAGGATATGGCCTCATCATGTAGAGTGAGCATCAGTCCAGGCTGGCTGGGACAGTGCAAAATAGAGGGAGAGGTGTTTCAGCTAATGCCTTCAGCAAAAAGGACAACCGGAAAGTTCAGGAACAATCTACGGACTCATGATTCCACTCCATGCATTAAGAGCCCCTTTAGGTAATGAGTTATGCAGGGAGCTACGTGGGACAAAGAAATGAGTTTTAACCTTTGCATCGGCCATTTGGATTCCTGGGGTCCAAGACACTGCAAATTGACTGCCTCAGACACGAGACATGTTCAAACACAGGCTGAGCGGGAAGGCTGTGTTTAATCGGTGCGAGATGAGATAAGCTTCGTCATTCGTTCCTGGGACTTCCGGCTTCAGGTGCGTACCTGCTTTCAGTACTGACTTCCTCCACAGCCTCAGCGAGTCCCGCAGCCTTCCTGAGCCCTGGGTCTGCTCCGAAACACCAGGACCTCTGTAGCACCCTGCTTGTTGGGTGCTAACAGGACTGCAAGAGGCAGTGCGTGTGCAGCATGGTGTGTTTGTAGGACAGGTGACTTAAACTGAAGGGCAGAGATCACGTGACACGGGCTTCCGACCCCCAGGGTTGAGGTCCCGAGGCTTCAGCAGCACTTCTTCTCCTCCCAGATTCAGTGCCTGGAGTTCCCTGTCTATGTCTCTGTGATTGACTCCACTGTGAACACCGGGATAGGTTAATATCATGGGCTTTTCCATTCGATGAGCTCTAAAAAGTAAAACTAAAGAGAGGCACAAAAAAGGCAGACATTGGCCCTAGGGGACGTGGGGGTCCCTCAGTTCATGTCACTGACACCGTTGCTCCACCCTTTGCTGTCTTCCTCCTCTTCTTCCTTATTCCTATGGACGAAGCAAAGAAAATGTAAAGAAAGTCTTCCGTTTCCTGACTGCTTCAGATGCGCAGGGTTTCTCAGCACCTCACAGAGCACAGGAGTCAGCACGGAGAAGACCCAAGTCCCGGCCAGGTCGGGGGACAGAGAGGAAGGCTGGAAGCCCCCTCCAGGCGGGACACGGGCCCTCCTCAATCCGGGAGGAAGCAGAGTCTCACCTGGGTTTGCGTGGTTTCCCCTCTGGGGGTGGGGGACGGGCCTGACCGAGCCCTGACTTCACACGAGTCCTGACACGGTTGCTCTGGCCCGGCCATCTGCTCTTTGCAAGGACAGCAGCTTGGGCAAACGAAAAGGTGGGCAGGCGAGGCAGGAAGGAGACCCGGTTACCCCGGACTAGAAAGTGGGCAGAGATGGCTCTGGAGGCCGGTGGGAGGCAGCAGCGGTGACAGCAGTCTCACCGGCAGGGCCAACAGGAAACCAGAGAGGAACTGCACGCCCCACAGGGCACACTTTGCTCCACCTGGTTGGCTCTGAAGTGAAGCCTTAGAAAACATGAAGCCAGACCTGTGAACTATGGGGTGCATGATACGTCTGGTTGCTAAATACCCTTATCAGTGAGTGTGGAGATATTTTCCTTTTCTTCTGTCTTTGCTTCCTTAAAAAACAAAAGCAAAGCAAACAAAAGAGGCAGCTACTAGTGACCACAGAAACTCAGCTTTGGGGGTTGGAGCTGCGTTGCGGCTTTGCGGGGCTCTGGCAGCCCCACCCTCACCTGCCTGCACCCCGGGGGTGGATGCCTGGTGACACCAGCCTGAGCCTGCTGTGCACAGATAGCTCAGACACCCATGGGTGCAGGGCAGGAGGGACACACATCCCAAGGCCACTTTCCCTGTCGAACCTGTGTGCTCCAAACCTCCACAAGTCAGTCAGAGCGATTCCCATGGAAGACGAATGTGACTTTTCTGAGCACAGAACCTGCAATCTGAGGATTGGAGGGGGAGGGGAGGCGTAGACTCCACTTGAGCGGAAGGAGAGGAAGGGGCAACTTCCGTCCTTTGCAGACAGCTTCAGTGTCAGGGATGGCTGGACAATCAGTAGCCTCTCCTGCAGGGACAGCTTCCTGTAGGAGCCTGGGGCTCTTCCGCCTAGCGGGCAGGCTTTGGAGAGGCTTCCTGGGAGGGCAGTGGCAGAGTGCCCTGTCTGAATATCCCCTCTCGCCCCCTGTCCAGACAGTTCTACAAAATGCCCAAGGTTGGTGGATGAGCCGATTGCTCAGCTAGGATCGTTACCCATTGTGACAGGCGTGATCCAAACCTATGGTGAATGTTTAAATTCTACACAATGTATTACAGTAAAAGACAGTGCCACGAATCTCCCTCAAAATCTTGCCCGTTGCTTCAAGCACACTTATCCCGTCATTCTTGCACTTTCTGGAGCAGTCTGGAAGTTCTCTTTCATGTCCTTAGAAGTTGTGGTCAAATATATGGAGAATGCAGCCCAGCACCTTACAGCAGGCTCATAAAAACATGACACCGCGTCCTCTCCCACCTTGTGCTGCTTTCTACGCTTCCCCAAAGTCAAAATGAACACGAAAGGAAAAGGTTTGGAATCCTTTCAGGACCTGGAGGCAGCCGGGGCAGCACATCCCAGAGTCCATCTGAGGCTGGGAGGTGGGACAGGAAGGACGGGGCCAGTCCCACTGTGCATGGACCCTGCTTCTATGGGAATCGCATTGTCTGCACTTCTTCTGAGCACTGCACTTTAGCAAGACAGCCCACACCAGCTGCCACTCGTCGCTGCTGTCCCGCTGCACCAGAAAAGGATTGAGAGAAATACATCAATAGCGCAATTAGGGAAAGACCCAAATTCAAAATCTGAAGTACGGTATCTACTCAATACTCATAGCTTTTGTGCCATTTAAAAGTTGAAAACTGCAAGTCAAGCCACCACAAATCAGAGTCCATCTGAAGAAGTTCATATGATGAAGAGAAACCAGATTTAAATGCTGTACACTGGTCAGGCATGGTGAGGCACACCCATAATCCCAGCACTCAGGAGGCTGAAGCAGGAGGATCACTACATGTTTGAGGCCAGCCTGGGTGACAAAGTGAGTTCAAGGGCAACCTGAACAACATAGTGAGATCCTGTCTCAAAAATATCAGAACATAACTAATGCTATATACTTTGAAGTTACCCAGAAGGACCAGCACCCTGTTTTATAAAGTCTTCTGGGCAGGGTGTGTCCCAACTCAGAATCATGTTGGGATTGGGGGATTTTGGAAAACCAAACCCAGATCCCAGGTCACTGGCCCTGAAACAGCAGAAGTTAGAGTAGGACCAGGGTTTCTGTGGTTTACATTTTCAGGTGATTGTGAAAGGCACATTCTTCATTTACAAGGCATGAGCTCAAGTTGGGTATAATTCATATGATTTAGGGTTATTTTTAGACTTCAGAGCGGCACCAGAGTGGAGGAGCAAACGTCTTTGTGAGCTGCCCATGTTTCTGAGATGATCATATAAATATTAACAAAACCTGCACACAGGAAGGGCATGGAGCAGGAGGAAGAGGAACGCAGGCCACCCAGTGTGTGTCTGCCACCCCACCCCCAGGATTATAATTTACTTTTCAGCAGAATGAAATGCAATGAAGAGCCTTCACAAACAGCCTTTTCTCTTTTCTCAGTGGGCCAGTAGCTATAAATATAACACGCCATAAATAACACTATCTTCCAAAAGATTTGATCAGGTTTGGATATGGCATTTGGGTTTAAATCTGTTCTCATAAATGAAAGTGTCTATGTGCAAGAGATTGGAGATTAATTTTTCAGGGACTGATGTTCCTCCTAAAAAGGCAAGAATGCTTAGACAGATGCCTGCTGAGTTTGTCACAGCAGCCAGGAAGACGAGAACACCGTGGTTTTGAAAAAGCAGAACTCACAGTAGAGAGTGAAGGTGCATTCCCAGCACTGTTCGAGATGTTACTTTTCAAAAACTCAGAATTCAAAATAGCAAATGCTCTCTTTGTTAGTTGTGTGCGTGGGAAGGAGGATTAATGAGTCTCAGTCCCTCCCATGTAGACAGAAGAGAGTGGATTGTTCCACACTGGCCAAATTTGAGAGCACAGTGGATTATAACAGGGATTTCTGCTTAACTGAAGCATGTGCTTGTTTGTTGGTTCCTTGTATCCTGCTTAATTTCCACATTATCTAGATGAGTCTTCAAATACATGTGTATGTTTCAATCTTCTGGGCTAGTGTTGAAATGAAAAGCTGGGCATGGTGTTGCACACCTATAATTCCAGTACCCCAGGAGGCTGAGGCAGGAGGATTGCAAGTTCAAGCTCAGCCTGGGCAACTTGATAACCTGCAGTGGCAGCCTCCAATGAGGGCAGCGTTTTTTAGGACCAGGTTTTAGCACCAGGTAACTGGCCTTTCCTCCTACTATTTCTGTGGATTCTGCCACTATCTCCAGCCCAGTGCAGGACAAGATCTCTGTGAGGGTCCCTCCCACTGGGAAACCCAGTACCCTTGCTCCTTTTCAAACCCAGACCACTGCTTATAGTCAGCGGCACACTTGCAATCAGCTGTCTCCAAGATGAAGGTGTCAGCAGATTTTGGCACCTGGTGAGGGCCACTTCCTGGTCCACAGATGCTTTCTTTGTGTCCCCACAGGGCAGGAGGCACAAGGGGACTCTTGGGGGCCCCTTTCTCTGGGGCACTAGATGCATCAGAGCCTCCTATCTCAGGACCTCAAACCCCACCTTCTAACTGTCACACTGGGGTTAGGTTCCATCATGGGGACGTAGAAGACCTAAGCACTCAGGAAACAGCTGGTCCCTAGACTTCTCCAGCTGTGCTCCCGCCTGATCCCCGAGATCTCCCCAGTGCCACCCGCTGGCTGGAACGGAAGGAGGAAGGTGAGCGGCTGCCTCTGCACCGCAGACAGAGGTGGCATTTCTCCAGGCTCGCCACGCCAGTCACATGGCTGTGGGAAGTTTCCTCTTTTCTAAACCTCAGCTTCTTCATCAGGAGAATGGAAGCAATGACAGCTCCTGCTTTGGCCACAGTGTTCTTGCGAAATTAAATGAGATGAGGGCTGGGGATTTAGCTCAGTGGTGCCAGGCCTGCCTTGCAAACATAAGGGCCTGAGTTCAATCCTTGGTACTGGAACCAAAACAAAGCAAAAACGAAGTTAAATGAGATGGCATGCATGAGATATTTTGCAATGCCCAGCAAGTGGTAAGTGCCCAATATATGTCAGTCATTGTAATGAACTGGTATTAATAACAAGATTATTATTAATTATCAGTAATCTAACTACTAAGTATAATAATTATTAATAATATTAATCATTCCTTATATTTTTTGTTTGTCTTTTTTGGTATGAGGGATTGCACTCAGGACCTTGTGTTTGGGAGGCAGATGCAGTTTCTCTGAGTTAAATCTCCAGTCCCTGTCCTTGATATATTTACCAACATAACTACATATGCAAGTCAGGAAGGAGAAAAGGCCAGAGATTGGATGGCATCTGTAAGCTGATGAGTCAGCCTGCCACAGTTTCATGGATGCTGCTGAGGTCAGAGACAAAGGGCTTTCTCACTCCAGCACTGCAGGACCTACAAGTTCACACCGGCTCCCCTCGCCCTCCAAACCAGGTGAATTTTGCACACATAGCCAAAGAAACTTGAGCATATGAGGATTACTGGCAAATCTGCCCATCTTTTGCCCCAGAGGGAAACGTTAGTTTTATAATCCTGGGCAGGAAACAATCTGCCTGCTCACACCACAGAAACACCAGCCCCGTCACCCTTGGCTGTTGACTGTGTAAACATGGTTGACAAGAAGACCTGAGGTGAAAGTTGTCCTAATGCCATGGAGCACGACATCCAGCAGGCACAGAATGCACTGGTCACCTTGGACCCAAGACCTTGCCGCCGTAGTGAAGGCGGCCTCAGCACCGATTCTGAATACAAGTCTGTCTTACACCGGAAGCAGGGCTGGGTCACCCCTC